AGAGAGAGAGAGAGAGAGAGTGGAGGCCCCAAGAAAGAAAAAAAAAAATCATTCCCGACCAGTTGCCTAGGATGGGGCCCAGTACAGATGTGGTCGTTTCCAGACGGCCAGACGTTCTGGTCACCAGCATCAGCATCGTCGACCTGCTGTCTCTGCGAGCGGTGTGTGGCAGGGGGGGGGGGGCTGTTAATACTTTCATCCATCTAGTTTGTTTCACGTATAGGGCGACGCACAGAATGAACTGTACCAGGGGTAGAGGAGCTGCGGGCGCCGCCCATCAACTGGCTGCGGCGTCGCATGCCACCGTTGACTGACCCTCCTCCTTTTGTTGTTGTTGTTGTTGTTGGTGCTGCTTTTTTATCTCCTTCAGCCGCTGCAGGAGCTCCTTCATTCGGTTGAAGACTGGGGACTTGTACTTGCGTGTGGCGTCCGCCGCAAGCTCGCTCAGCTCCTGCTTCCGCACCTCAACCTTCGCGTACGCCTCCACGCACTCTTTCATGGCGGCGATGTAGCTGAGCACCGTCTCGCCACACACATCGGCCAGGCGCGCCTCGCTCGCCTCAGCGGTGACGATAAAGCCACGCATACTCTCAAGTGTCGCGGTGAGTTGTTCTCGGCCAGCCGCAAAGGCGGCATCAGTGGCCGACAGCTCCGCCATCTTCCCCTGGTCCTGCTTGGCGCGTTTCTGCTGCAGCTTCAGCAGTTGGTCAAGGTGCTTCTGCGCGAGGTCAATGTGCCGCTTGAATGCGTCAAGCGTCTCCCGTAGCGCCACAACCCCGCGGTAGGCGTCGCCGTACTCGTCCGTACCGTCGCTGCCGCTTCGCTCCGCAGGTGGTGCGTCGTTGCCGTTTGCGTACATCGTCAGCCCCTCAGGGATGTAGCCCCACTTCATCGCACTAAGTGGGATGTCCGCCATCGCAGCGGCGTTGTTGCCATTGCCATTGCCAACCGGTGTTTCCTCCATGGTGCTTCTGTTCTGTTGCTCCTGCTGCTGGTGGTGTAGGGCGGCGGGAAGCGGCTGTTCACCTTTCCGGTCCCGCTGCCGCATCTGCGCTGTGAACGCCTGCTCCGACTCGCGCAGATCATTCGCCATCTGAATTGCCGCCGTGATCTTTGGATCCTCTGGTGGCAGCTCCGCGTTCGCCTGCGCGAGCCGTGTGGCCCCGTAGTTTGTGAAGCAGACGTACTGGTACGTGAGGTGGGCAATCGCGGGGCGGAACGACGCGATAAAAAGGGGTGCGTCGAGGAGGCCCTCTAGTACCGTGTGGTTCTCCATCACGGTGGTGAAGAGCACCTTGCCACCAGGCCGCAGCAGCAGCTTCGCGGTGTGCACGTACGCAGTCCACACGTCCTCCGTGATGAACGGCGGGTCGGCGAGAACATAGTCGAAGGCGCCGAGGTGCTGCACCGGCACGTGCTCCGGCTTGTGGTAGTCGTAATGCACAAATCCCGGCTCCATCTCCCACTGTCGGTCGTACTCGAACAGGCGGCTCTTCGCCCGCAGCTGCGCCGCAGCGCCGTCCTCCCCGCTGGTGCTGCTCTCGTTGTTGCCGTCGTCGTTACTGGCGCTGGCATCCATCAGGGCGAAGTAGAGCGACGGCGTCGAGAGGAACGCGCACGCCGTTGCGTGGTGGCGCACCTCGTCGAGGAGCGCGCGGACGGTGTGCGGTGTGTACCAGTACTGGTTGTGCTCCGCCTTCTCCACGTTGCTGTCGAACCGCACGCCGTGCCGCGTCGTCGTCACAGATACCTCCTCCGCCATGCTGCTGCGGCTCCGCTCTCACACACTCACACTCACTCACTGCGTCACGGAGTAGCAACAGGCCAAAAAGAAAGAACAGAGGGATAGACAGAGGGGGGGAGAGAGAGAGAGAGAGCAACTGTGTGTATGAGGGAGTGTATTTATTTATATAAAGAACGTCAGGGAGAATAGAACCAGCAACAGCAGCAGTACGGCCCGAGTCACACTGCAGTGTTGCCAACACACCCACACGCGTTGCGGCACCGCGCAGTCCAACTCCATCACACACGCACACACAGATGGAGAGAGAGGGATAGCGGGAGATGACCAGCAGCAAGAACGGCGTGACGGATCTATTGGGAGCTGCACACACGAAAAAAAAAAGGTGTAGCGGATAATTAAGGTGATCTAAAAGAGACGCCCGCGCGTGGACTGCCGCACCACGGCACGCAGGCGCAGGGCTCCACGCGCACGCACGCACGCCGGATGTCCGTTGCCTGAAAAGAAAGGGGGGAAAAAATGATACTGGGGAGAAGACATGTGCATCTATTCAGCAAGGGTAAGTGAAAATGCAAGGAGTTACGAAATGACGCGTCTCTCGCCGACCCGCTGTTTCTTCGTGCCCCCCACCGCCCCTTTTTTTTTTTGTTTCGTTCTTCTTCTTCACTCTCCACATCTAACGAGAGTTTGATGCCCGAGGGGACGCAGCGCCATCATATATATATATATATATATAGACAGAGAGTGTGTGTGTGTGTGTGTTCGTTGTTGTTGCTGTTGTTGGTGGGACTTATCGTGCGCCTTTATTGTAGCAAGGAAGCAGGGGAAACCACGGGGAGACCTACCAGCTCCCCCCCACACCTCAGCTCAGCTCAGCTCCGCGAGGCTGGCGGCAAACGTCTTGTAGTCAATGAGAACGTTCAGTGGTGGCTGCTGCTGCTGCTGCCCAACTGCGCCCATCTGCTGCCGCACCCGCGGGAATGATGTCACCATTGCGTGGGGGCTGTTGTTCTTACCCCTGCTGCTGTTGTTGTTGCTCTCTAATACGCCGAGGTGTTGCGCCGCGTAGCGCTCCCCAAAGCACTCGCGGAAGCAGCTCCACAGACTGACGTACAGGCGCATCGCACTCTCCTCCGCCATCCGCGCCTTCTGCCGCGCCATCACCTTCTCCCACGTGTTCCTGCACGCTGCCGTGGGAGAGTCGCTCACGTGCAGGAACGACGACGACAACGACGGCGACGGCGAGGCGATGCACCACGACACATCGACACATCCCTCGCTGCCACGTGCCGGTGTCTGGCTGCCGGCAGCACAAGCGGTGCCCTCGTCCTCCACCAGTACTTGCTGCACCACACGCGCCACCACCACCATTGGAAGGGCGCCCACGTCATCGCGGTCGTACCCGCGCAGTCGCCGCAAAATGCGGCCCGCGTGGGCCGTCAACTCGCGGCGCAGCACCGCAGACTCTGGCGGCACCCACGGCCTGCAGACGCCACCGTCACCGCCGGTGCTGCTGCTGCTGTTGTTGATGTTGGTGTTGCTGCTCGCTCTCGCCACAACTGCCGAGGAGCCGCCGAGACTCAGCTGCACCGATCCCCCAATCCAATTGTAGACGTCATCAACGCCATCGTTCGTATTGTCGTTGCTGATGTTGACGCTCTTGTTGTTGTGCTTTTCTGACGAGGTGTGGCGGTGGGCCTCAAGAGCGGCCACGAGCCGCTCACTCGCACGGCGCACCTCTTCCCTGGCGGCTTCCACCAACGCCATCAAGTCGTCGCTTGGGCGGCGCGGAGGATGTGGCACCACCGGCATTTCTCCGGTCTCCGCAGCACAGCGGCCGTCGCCCACCGCCACTTTTGACGTTGTCTCCTCCACCGCAGTGGCTGCTTCTGCTGCACCTGTGTCGCTCTTGTTTATATCGGTTGTGCTGGTGTGGCTGTCAAGCGCCTGCTCCTCAGCAGTATCGACCGCAAAGCTCTCGCCGAAGAGCGCCACGGGGGCCGCAACGGTGTCGCTGCAGCGCACATCCATCACCTCCGAGGCGTGCGTCTCTTTGCCCGCTGCGGCGAAGCGTTGGCGCCACGGCGTAGGTGTGGGGCCGCTGACAAGCAACAGCGACTCCTCGTTGTGTGCCGTAGTTTCCGGAAGCCGAACGGCATCGATGTTGTTGTTGTTACTGCTGCTGCTTCCGACACCGCCGTCAACGAACTCATCAACGCTGGTCGGTATCACTTCGTCCTGCACGCGTGACGGCGGCGGGGCATCCACGTCCATCCGTTGCCACCTTACCGTCGCTGTCGCATTCCCATCACCATCATTATGCTCGGCAGCGGCAGTGGCACCACACGAGGAGAATCCACCGCATATTATCAATGACGTCGAGGTCGGCGATGGTGGGACGGACCGTTCGCGCTTTCCACGTCTGTGGCGCAGCTGCGGCGGCGACACATTCTCCTTTTCATACGCCTCTACTGATGTTGCTGTTGTTGTGGCTTCTGCTGCTGCTGCTGCTGTGGAGACGACACCTGCTGTGAGGAGCAGCAGACTCCCACGGCTGCCCGCACCGGCCCCCACTGACCCCTCCCGCGCATCAACATTGACGTCAGCGACGGCGCACTCAGAAAGCCGCAGCAGCTGCTGCTCATTAGCGGGACACCGCTCGGGAAAATCATGGGAAACGGTCGGTGTGCGAAACGCACGCGCACTGTCGCACCTCATCGTCTCATCGCCGCCGCCGTCGTCGTCAGAGAAGTGAAGGTCCGGGAAACTTGAGGGCATAATCGCTGCCCGTGGCCGCGGCGACGGCGACGAAGGGCGGCTCTCCGACTGGCGTCGCGACGTGAGGCCGCTGGCGAAGGAAAAAGAGACCCAGCGGCTGCTCGGCATCAAACTCCCCTCGTCGCCATCGTCTACGGCGGCGACACGAAACTGCGGGTCGGTGTTGCTGCTGTCGTCGTCACCCTGCCGCACCACAGCCTTCTGGTGACGCTCCCCCAGTGTTGCTGGCAATGCTGTGGCCGGCGTTGGTGTGAGGGGGCGCCGCGCGGGCCCCACGCGAGGACGTGACAGCACGGGGGACGTCGGCGCTGTTCGTGCTGCTCCACAGGCACGTTGGCGGCGTTGTAGTCTTTGTTGCTGCTGCTGCTGCGTTGGTAGTTGTTTAGGCCACCGTACGGTGGTGTTGGCGTCGCGGGACTTCAGTGGTGTTGGTGGGGGTGGTGTGTCGGGCAGCGGATCGAGCCGCAGCGAGCGACGGCCCTGCAGCTGCGAGAGGCTCGTAGTCGACTCCTCATCGCGGTAAATGTCATCGTCGTCCATCATCGCTGCAGCGTAGTGTACCTGCAGCGTGGAGTACTGTGCTGTATTGTAGTGGCGTGCGGCGGTTCCAAGCGTCGTGCTAGCACTTCCACCGGTATGTGTGGATGCACCCTTCTACTCACGCCACTCTACAACTCCCCACTCTCCGGACCGCTCTTTTTGTGGAGACGATCGCAACAAAATGTGAAGGCTGATCTATGCGACCGGCGCAAACTGCCCCGCTCTCCTTTCTTGCTCTTGTGTTGGGCGAACACAGGAGCCGAATGCAAAGGAAATAGAGAGAAGAAAGAAAGAGAGAGAGAGAGAGAGATAGGAGAGGAGAGGATGCAGTGGGACGATGCGGCACAAAGCGGTGGCGCCACCACCGTGCAAGAGTAACGCGGGAAAGAGAACACGGGGAGGGGGGTGGGCGTGGAAGGCACACACGCATTTGTAGATATATATATATATATATATGTACGCCAAACGGGAGGAATGGAGGGAGGAAGAGAGAGGAGGATCGGTAGACGCAACGATGCTGCTGGCATCGCCCTTGTCGCTGCCAGCGAAATCAGCGAGGCAGCACACACACACACACACACACTTCTTGAAATGCCGCGTGGGGCATCCCCACGTGCGCCTCCCCCGGACGCCCATCCCCGCCCAGCGTCACAGCAGCGTCGGCAGCTGGTGCGTGCGTTGTGCCCGCAACAGCACCTCCACATGCGCAATGTCGTCCAGCACTGCAGCGAGATGCTCGCCGAACTCCACATCGCCCGTCGGCGCCGCGTCACGCCAGCAGTCGGCGCGCCGCCGCTCGGCCAAC